TCCGCTATGAGCTCTGAGGGGTGCATCGATGGCCCTGAGCCGTCAGTAGGAACAGAACTTGCATTGATTCCAGAGAGACCAAACAAAGGGCATTCTCGATCTGTATTGACATGGCCCCACTTGTGGCATTTAATACTCCTCACATTTCGAACCTGAATACCAAAGGGCTGATCTCTGATGTTCATGTCATCTTTGGCATGTTTTTCTCGTGGGGCTCCTTTCTGCCATTCAAATTTATATTCTGTCTCTCCTTCTATTTCTTCTTTCTCTTTGTTTTCTTTTTTAGCTCCTGGTGGAGCCTCATACATGAAATTAAGGCCATTCTTTACACGTTCATCTCCCATAAGCAATCTATTATCATATGATTCTTGTTCCTTAAGATACTGTTGCATTAATTCTTCTTGTTTCTTCTTATCATATCATGTTTTCTGTTCTGTCATCCATACTTTTTTGATATTGGATTTGGAGGTGGGATGAAAGTCTTTCTTGCACATGAAGTTGGCGAAGGACTTCCCCATCTTGGAATCCGAACCAGGGAAGGCCTCTTGAGTTCATTTTTGGGCATGGGAAGTGGTCGTTTAACTCTTCTGCAGGTGGCAATTCCGTTTGTCCAACACCGTTTGTTGAAGAGGCTTTCTCTCCTTGGATATTTCTAGGTCATTTGCCAAAGATTAGATGCCTGTAGGCTGATGCATTTCTGTCTGGGTTTTCTGTTCTGATTCATTGGTCTATGTATCTCTCATTGTACCAGTACCAGGCTGTGTTTTTTTAAATTATTTTATTGGGGGCTTGTACAATTCTTATCACAGTCCATACACACATCCATTTTGTCAAGCACATATGTACATTTGCTGCCCTCATCATTCTCAAAACATTTGCCTTCTACTTTAGCCCTTAATATCAGTTGCTCATACCAGGATGTTTTGTTTTGATTTTTTTTAATCATTTTATTCAGGCTCGTACAACTCTTATCACAATCCATACATACATCCATCCATTGTGTCAAGCACATTTGTTTCCCTCATCATCCTCAAAACATTTGCTTTTTACTTGAGCCCTTGGTATCAGCTCATTTTCCCCCTCCCTCCTCCATGAACCCTTGATAATGTATAAATTATTATTATTTTGTCATATCTTACACCATCCTATGTCTCCCTTCACCCACTTCTCCCCTGCCCATCACCCAGGGAAGAGGTTACATGTAGACCTTGTCATCTGTTATGCCTTTCCCCTCACCTTCCCTCCACCCTCCCGATATCACCACTCTCACCACTGGTCCTGAGGGGTTCATCTGTCCTGGATTCCCTGTGTTTCCAGTTCCTATCTGTACCAGTGTACATCCTCTGGTCCAGCC